GGAAGTAAAAGACCTCTACCATGCAAACTACCCTGCAGTAAAACCTTAAATTGCAAGTAACTTCCTCTATGAGTGTTCTGCAAGATGAGCAAACATTTCTAATACTTCTTTTATTTAGTAATATTTTGAGACAACTCACTATGTAGTTCAGGCTGTCCTTGAACTCAAGATGACCCTCCTGCCTCAGCCTCCCGCGTGCTGGGATTACAGGTGTGCAGCATGATGTCTGGGTCTAGTAAATGTTAACTTGATAAACAGGCGACATCTTGCAATACAGGTAGTAGGGGACGCCAAATGTCACAGGCACAGAATCACAACTGAGCTGATGGCTCGCTCCCCTCCCCACCCCCACCCCGGGATTGTCGGCGATCATCTCCCAATAGCTATGGAGATCTCGTCCGCAGAGCAGGAGACGAAGGCAGAAGAATCTCTCACTTCAAATGAGATTAGGGAGCTGTGCGAGATGTGGGAAACAGTGCAAAACCATGTAGAAATGCACCACCCGAATAAGGCTGCAGCAGTGCGAGCGATGGATCTGTTTAACCACACTGCGTGGTCACAGTTCTGCAAAATCCTCAAAAGGAGGCAAAAGCAAGGGTCGTTGGCTCAGTTAAATTTGCCTCCGAAGAAAAAGATTCCCTTGAGCCATCAGACAGCAGTGATTCCGTTAGTGAAGGTGAAAGTCGTCCGCACAGCAAACCTCCCCACCAGCCACGAAGGTTCTCAAAGGTGAGTGCGAGTTGATTTGTCTATTTTTCTTTATATTTTTAACTATCTTGTGTTCTATTACTGTTTCGTAATTTTTTTAGGACTATTTTGGGGTTGTGGAACGAACCTTCTGAGTTTCTATTGTTTCCTATGGGGAAATTCGATTTGCTACGCAAGTGCTTTGGATGACAAGCGTTTCCGGAACGGATTGTGCTTGCAAACCAAGGTTTTCCTGTGCTCTGAGGAAGGAGCCCAAAGCTGTCACTGTGCCTGGGCAGGCAGAACCAGGGGTCACAGTGTCCGCGCTTCTGGAACTGATGTGTGGATTTAACGCAGTCCCAATCCAAATACCAACAGCTTTCCTCACAAAACCGGAGAAAACATCCATAAACCTCATGTGGAACCGGAAGAGCCTCAGAATGACAAAAGCGATTCTGGGACCAGGAGCAGAGCGGGAGGCATCACAATCCTGGATTTCAAGCTCTATTAAACGCGTACGGTGGTAAAAACCACGTGGGTCCGGTGCGAGCGCAAACACGTAGGTCAACGGAGCAGAAGAGAGCAGAGGACGGAAGTGTTGGAGTGGCGTGTGATGCCCGGTGCCCACCTGTAATCCCAGCTTTTGGGAGGCAGAGGCAGGAGGATCACCATGAGTTCAAGACCTGCCTGGACTACTTAGTGAGACTTTGTCTCAAAAACCAAACAAACAAACAGAAATCAAATGATAACAAATCCTGGTGAAGGTGTGGGAGAAAATGCCTTGCACACTGTTGGTGGGAGTGCAGACTGGTGCAACCACTGTGGAAATCACTATGGAGATTCCTCAAAAAACCAAAGCTAGAAATTCCATTTGACCCAGATATTCCCCCTCTAGGCGTCTCCCTGAAAAGGGTTAAAGTCATCGTGTTCCAGTGATCCATGCACACGCAATGTTTTTAGCAACACAACTCACAATAGCTGAATCTTGGAAGCAGCCTATGTGTCTACCAACAGATGAATGGATATAGAAAGTGTGGTATTTTCACACATTGGAGTACTACTGTGCCATAAAGAAGGATAAATGTGAGTCATTTGTAGAAAAATGGATGCACTTTTGAGGTGGGGGTGTGGGGATTCGAACTCAGGACCTCACACTCACCAGGCAGGTGCTGTGCTGCTGAGCTACATCCCCAGGCCTGGTTCCTCTTATATGAGAAACCCAACACACAAATAAATTAAATAGCAAAATAAAAGACAGGTCAGAGGACCAGGGTGATGGATCTTGTGCAAATGGAAAGGGACCAAGACATGGGAAGAGGGGGAAATGGGGGGAGCGGAAGAAAGAAGAATGAAGATGTATCGTGCACACTACCAGCTACCAGTAATCTAGGTTCTGCAAACATGTAGTGATAAAAATGTTTGAGACAGGGTCTCACTATGCAGCCCAGGCTGGCCTTGAACTCATATCAATCCTCCTGCCTCAGCCTCCCAAGAGCTGAGATTACACCCATGTGCCACCACACCTGGCTATTTTAGTTTTTTGAGCAGGGTCTCACTACATAACCAAGGCTGACCTCAAACTCATGGCGATTCTCCTCAGCCTCCGGCATACTGGAATTACAGGCATGTGCCACCACTCCTGGCAAGATTGCCCTTTTAGGAGTTGATAGAACATGCAGACACACACACACACAAAATAAAAATCCCATAAGAATGTGGGACATGAGATGGGTGTGGTGGTGCACGCCTGTGATCCCAGCACCACACTGGCTGAGGCAGGAGGATCACAGTGAGTTCAAGACCAGCCTGGGCTGCACAGTGAGACCCTGTCTCAAAAAACCAAAAAGAAAAAAAAGCAACAGCCAATTAGATCTGGCTGACATTCACTGGACACAACATACAACAGGTACAGGTGATGCTTCTAGTGCCAAGGAGTCATTCAAGACCCATTGGGTGCTGCCACACAGTGACCCGTGACACTGTAATTACTAACGCAGAGCTGAAGGCCTCCAGGCCCCTCACACCTGAGCTACCTCGGGGCACCGCCAGGAGCTTTTCACCTTCTCCCTGGCCTGCTTATGCCCTTGTTTGCTCATTAGATGCCCAGCTGTCTTGCCAGGATTAAGAACCACTTCTTCCTGGAGGCTGGCGAGAACCCCTGATCCCAGCGACTTGGAAGGCTGAGGCGGGAGGTTAACAAGTCTGAGGCCAGTCTGGACAACTCAACGAGACCCTGTCTCAAAATAAAAAGGGCTGGGGCTACAGCTGAGGGCCTGAGCTCAAGCCCAAGTATCACAGCGAAGAAAGAGATCGAAGAAATAAAAGTTTAGAGAGGGCTTGGCCTGGCCTCTCTCCCTTCCTTGCAAGTCCTCATTCTGAGGGGCACGGCCCCCACCTGCAGCCTGAGACCCTATGACGCGGGCACCAGCGCATCTGTTGATTAAGATTTTCTAAAATAATCTCGGTGCTCTGAGGACAAGGAACTTCTGCAAAAGTCTGTGGAGCGGGACCTCTGAGACCCAGGCTTCTCTCAGCCTCCTCTGGATCAGAGGCCGAGCTTGGGGTCTCTGCCTGCTCCTCCCACTCCTCCCCTGAGGGAGGTCCTCAGACCCAGGGCAGTCTGCTCAGCCAGGAATCCCACAGCAGCTGCAGAAGTGGTGTGCAGGGGCTGTCTCCTAGGCCAGGGACCCCTGGCTTTCATCAGATTCCCAGGCTTGTTAAATTGCCGGGGCTGGGCTTGAACCTGTGACCCTCCTGCCTCGGCCTCCCAGAGTGGTGGGATCATAGGCATGCACCACCATCCAGGCTTGGAATAGTTCTGACCTCTGAAATGCTACAAGGACAGTTGCATCATCTTTCAAACTGTCCCAAACCTGTCCACATCTGAGTCTTAAGAACACCACAAGCCCAGTCTCCTCTGCAAATGTGGACCCTCGGCTCCCTGGAGCTCTAGACAGCAGCCCTGGCCTCCTCTCCACACCTTCTTGGGGATTTTTTGGGGTTTTTTGGTACTGGGGATCGAACTCAGGACCTTGCACTTGTGAAGCAGGTGGCGGAACCACTGAGCTAAATCCCGGCCCAGGGATTTTTGTTTATTGTTTGAGATAGGGTCTCACTATGTACTCCAGGCTGGCCTGAAATTCACTATGCTGATCTTGAATTTGCAGAGATCCTCCTGCCTCAGCCTCCCTAGTGCTGGAATTACAGGCATGCGCCACTACACCCAGCTTCTCAGGGCCCATTTATTAGCATCTTGCAGGAGAAAAGAAATCTTGCAGAATAAAGTTCTGGACCTCTCACTTGGGGAAATGCTAGTTTAGTAAATCCACTTTGAAGCCAGGCAAAGCGGCACATGCATGCCTGTAGTTCCAGCTATTTGGGAGGCTGAGGCAGGAGGATTACTGGATTACAGGCGCATCCCTGTAATCTGATCTAAGGAAGCAGGAGAATCAGCATGAGTTTGAGGCCAGCCTGGGATACATAGCAAGCCCATCTCAAAAAACAAAACCAGGGCCAGGGATTTAGCTCAGTGGTTCCATTGCCTGCCTCGAAAGTGCAAGGACCTGAGTTTGATCCCCAGTACCAAAAAAAAAAAAAAAATCACTCCCGATGATTAGCAAGCCTGTGGCAGCTGCAGGCAGGGCGTGCAATGGGGGCTGCCAGAGCTGAGTGCCTTCTCTAGCACCCCCAGAATGCAGGGGCAGCTGGCTCGGCACAGGAAGCCCGGGGCCAGGACCGGCCTGGCAGTTAGGGGTCTTGCTGTTGCTGTTGTTTTGTTTTGTTTTGTTTTGTGACACAGGGTCTCGCTATGTCGTTCAGGCTGGCCTGGAACTCACGGTGATCCTCCTGCCTCAGCCTCCTGAGTGTTGGGCTCACAGGCAGTGCCACCACTACTGGCTGTGCTAAGTTTTTAAAAAAGCATTCTTCTTACTAGAACTTGTTCAGGGCTGCAGCCCGTCTCAGGACAGCAGCCAGTATCAGGCTCAGAAAGACTTCTATGGATTAAAGAAAAAATGAACCAAATGAAATATGGTGTCTCAAGGAAGGTGTAGGCCCTGGGTTTATGTAGATGAGAAGCAAATGAACATCTGCAATTAGGGTTTCTGCTCTTGGGTCTGCATCTGCATCTCCAAAGGGGGCTGGGCCATGCTATTTGCATAACAAATTGGCTCCGAGAGAGAGGCTGGCTGGGCCAGGCTGACTGTCAGAGACCAGGGTGGCTCAGAGGCAATGGGCCGAGGCAGCACCTGCCACCGCCCTCCGCCCTCCACTGGGCTTTCCCAAATCCCTGGCCTCGCCCCGGCCACATGCCCCCTATTTAAGGGCAGCGGAGTGCAGGAGAGGCTCCTGAGGAGGAGACTCGACTGGTGGGGAGTGGGACATCGGGCTCCGATGGACAGGTACGGACAGGTACGCAGGGTGGCAGGAGGGGTCCCCACACTTTCTACCACAGCCACAGCCGCCAAGTCCTTCCTGATAATCTTGGGCTGAGCTGAGCAAGAGATCGAGCCTGCAGCTTCCCGTGGGACAGCACCCCGGGGCGGGTTCTGGCTGCTAGGGCTCCTAGCTGAGCTGCTCTAGAGGGGAGACGGGGCCTGGACTCCCTCTCCAGCTGGTTTTGTTTTTTTTTTTGAGACAGGGTCTCACTATAGCCCTGCCTGGCCTCAAACTCTGGGAGATCCTCCTGCCTCAGCCTCCCAAGTGATGGGAATATAGGCGTGCACCACCTTCCCTGGCAAGCAGTAAGGCCAAAGCCAAGGCCCATCGTGAAAATTCTTTAAGATACGCAAGGAAGGCGGTCATTGGTTGGCGGTGTGAGACTGTGACTTAAGAGGGTTAACTGGGTACTGTGGCAGCTGCTGCTAAGGAGGCTGAGGCAGGAGGATCACTGTGAGTTCGAGGCCAGCCTGGGCAACTCAAGAAGGGCCTGCCTCAGAAGGAAGAAAGGGCTGAAGATGTGCGTCCATCATGGTCACCCGCTGGCCTGGCGTGTGTGAGGCCCTGGCCTCCACCCCTGGATCAGAGGAAAAAGGGGACAAAGGCTGGCTTGGGAGGACAGAAGGCTGCAGGGCCGGGGCTGGGAGAGGCGGCCCGCAAATTAGAGAAAGTGACAGGGTGGACCAGAGGCGGACAGGTCAGGGGAGCCTGGTCTTCGAGGGGCCTGGTTCCAGAGTGGTCCTGAGGATGCCTCTTCAGAATAGCAGCCCCAGCGTCCCTGGCCGGCTGCATCAGGCAGGAGGAATTAGGAAAGCGCTGTTGCTTTTAAAAAAATTCCCCTTCTGCAGCACTTCCTCAAAAGCAGCGATATAGCGCTGCCCACTGCCCGGTCTGACAGCCAGAGCTGCAGCCTGGGACTCAGGTTTGAAGACAGCTTGGAGAGGCCTCCGGCTTCCTGGTAAGAGTGTGGCTTGGGTTTGCCAGCATGACTGGCAGCGACTGCTCCTTCGCCTGCCTGACTCAGCCCCCAGGGGAACGAAGCCCCAGGGGTCAGCAGGGTTCGAAGGGCTTTTTCTTTCTTAGTTGCGACTTGTGTGAGCAGTGAGTCTGTTTCGTGGCGGTTCCCTCCAGGAGCGGCTCTTTGGGTGTTATTTAAGTCCAGCACCCTGGGCGTGGGCTCTCGTGTCCGGGGAGATGTCACTGGGAGTCGTGGCTTCTAAGGAACAAAACTGAGGCCGATGCTGGCGGGGACCGGAGCCCATGAGGGTGCCCAGCTTCCTCCTTGGATTCTTTCGCTGGACGGGAGGCTGCTGCGTAGACAGCGTGTTGTGTGGCTCTGCATTCAATACAACAGGGTGTGCGTCCGGCCTCTGCAGCTCTTGCGTAAAGCCCCTCTGGATTTGTTAAATGGAATAAGTAGCTCTGGGCCCACCATGCCCTGTGCTCTTCCTTATCCTGTGATTGGTTGTGTCATTGTAGAAACAGAATTAAAAAGAATTTTAGGTACTGGTCTAGGTGATGATAGTTTTTTTTTCCACTACCAGGAATCAAACTCAGGATGGTGCTAGGTAATAATTGTTTATCGGAAGCAAAATCTAAAAGGGTAAGAAAGTGGATAATGAGGACTGGGGATAGCACAGCATTCTGAGTTTGATTCCTGGTATGGGAGAAAAAAAAGGCAGATAATGTAAATTTATAGACTAGACTTCTTTGTTTGTTTTTGCAGTACTGAAGGTTGAGCCCAGGACCTTTGCACTGAGCTGCATCCCTAACCTTGTTATTTTTTATCTTGAGACATGATCCATTGCCCAAGCTGAGTTTGAATTTGTGATGCCCCTGCCTCAGCCTCCCAGAATGTTCTAGGATAACAGGCATGCCAACCACATCTAGCCTAGATAGTTGGTTTTTTTTTTTGAGACAGTGTCTATCATGCAGCCAGGCTGCCCCAAACTCACAGCAATCCTCCTGCCTCAGCCTCCTTAGTGCTGAGATTACAGGCATGGATCACCACCCCTGGCCTAGATGGAGTTCTTAACCTAAGAACTAAGATTTCATCTAAGACTCAAAGGAGTCCCTGAACTGGCTTCATAAGCTGAATTTTATTTTTATTATAAATCTGGGTTTCATGGCAGGGAAGCATGTGCTTTGGCTGGATTGTCAGAAGGCAGAAAGGCTTTGGACGTTGATTTTCAGAATTTTTAAATACTCAATAGTTAAATGGACTCTGAAACACCTGCAGTACTTTATAGACCCGTGTTGTTTCTGTATTGTCTTCCGGTTGAGCAGGGCAACCAGTTAACTGCTTTTAGCTATTTTAATGTGCAGTTCAGCTCTGTGGCACATCGCTTATAGCGCTGGAGGCCCTGGGTTCGAGATCACCATGCACAACAATGAGAACATCCACACATGTTTGGTCCAGGACGGACACTGTCTAGGAAGCTTTCAGAACAGAAGAGCAGAGAGAATCGTTTGTAGGAAAAGCTGCAGGATGAAGATTCGCACCTCAGAGAGAATCTGAACGTGCTCATGGTTTCTATAACATTATATACGCATACCGGCATTTTTAAACACCACGTTTTGCTGGGCGTGGTGGCACACACCTGCAATCCCAGCTCTCAGGAGGCTGAGGCAGGAGGATTGCTGAGAGTTCGAGGCCAGCCTGGGCTACATAGAGAGACCCTCTCCAAATAAATAAATAAACACCGTCTTTTCATTCAGAATCAAACCAGAACTGTATTTAACTTTGTCCTTTAAATGTTTAACTTTTTCAGGGTCTTCCACATATTCATGAAATATGGTAAGTTGATATTTTAAAATATTTGCTCTTTTATTTCACAAACGAAATATTGGGATCAAATGAATAAATGTATGCAATGGATCACAGAGTACAGTAGTTCAGTTTTAAATCACTGGACATATTTTTGAAATTAGGATCATTCATTTGTTTAAGTGATTGATGAATTCTGTTCCATTAAAGATATTGGAACTTTCATTAAAGATTGATCTTTTTTTCTTGTTCTTTCTTTTAATTTTATTTTGTTAAAACCACTGAATTGTACATTTTAAGTGGGTAAACTACATGGTATATGAAATTTGTCTCAACAAAGCTACTTTTAAAAAATAATTTTATTTTGTTGACCTGTTTTTCTTTCTTTCTTTTTTTTTTAGGCTATAACTTAAGTTTACTATGCATAAAATTTGTAGCACATCATACATTTTTTTTACAACATAGATTCAATGTTAGAAAAATTCAGACATGATAAAGCTTAGATGTGACAAGAGCAATGCAACAGACACAGTTAGGAAACAAATGGAAACAGCATATGAAAAATGAACCCCCAATTTAAAAGATTTCCTAGACTGGAACATAAAAAACATCTTTTAGACATGATTTGGTCAGCAACTGGGCAGAATTCATTCAATTTCAGTTAAAATGTCAGTTTCACTGTAGTTCAAATAAAAGGTAAATGTATGCAATGTATAAAAATGATAAAAACCATCTTAACCTCATTTCTATCCTAATACCACTCATTATATACTTGGAGCATGGACACTAGAATATTGGTGTTAGGTTTATACAGTTATGTTTTTTTTCTAAATGCTGAAAAGTTGACCTGTTTTTCTACATTGCCTTTCCCTAATCTATAATTCCTGGCTCAAATTTTTGGTGTTTTTGTTTTGTTTTGTTTTGGTACCGGGGATCGAACTCCGGTCCTTGCGCTTGTGCAGCAGGAGATGAAACCACTGAGCTAAATCCCCGGCCCAATTTTTGGTGTTTTGAGACAGGATCTTGCTATGTAGCCCAGGCTGGTGTGGAATTCGAGGCAATCCTCCTGCCTCAGCCTCCTGAGTGCCAGGACTACAGGCGTGCACCAGCACACCTGGCATGGTAATTTTGTAACTCCGCCTTCTGCCGTTAATGGTCCCACAGACTTGTGCTGAGCAAGACATGCTGGGCCAAGAGTTCGAGGATGCTCTCGAAGTGCTGAGGCAGCACTCCACAGAAGACCCTCTGTCCTCCCCAGGTGAGAAGCCTGTCACCCTCTCCAGCTGCTCAGTCAGGTGTAAGGAAGGGTAAGGGCCAGCCAGGTGTGCGGGTGCTCACCTGAAGTCCTAGCACACAGGAGGCTGAGGCAAGAGGATCGAAAGTTCAAGGTCAATTTGGGCAATTTAGCAAAAGTCTGTCTCAAATTGTTTAAAAAGGGCTGGGGATGTAGCTCAGTGAAGAGACCCTGGATTAGATCCACAGCACTGGGTAGGAAGGAAAAAATGAAAGTCTCACATGCAAAAAGTCAGGGAATATAGATTCAAAATTATTATTAAAATTGTCTTGTTGGTACACCTGTAATCCTAGCTCTCAGGAAGCTAAGACAGGAGGTTCTCAAGTTCAGGGCCAGCCTGAGCTCCACAAAGTTTGAGGCCAGCCTGGGCAGGAAAGGGAAGCCCTGCTTCAAAAAACAAACAAAAAAAAGTTGGGCATGGTGGTGCCCACGTGTAATCCCGGCATTCTAGGAGGCTGAGGCAGGAAAGTTGTGAACTCCAGTCCAGCCTGGCACTTTAGTGACTTAGAAACCCTGTGACCTAGTCACACGACCGAACTTGGCCGCTAGCCGAGGACCCTCTGCGTCCAGAAAGGGTTTTCAGCGCCTCTGATTCCCCTGCAGCCCCCGCCTGCCCCGGGCTGTGCAGTCTGGTGGCTGAGGGCAGCTGAGCCGCCTGCTGAGTCATAAACTGCTGCTCCAAGGCTGCGGACAACCCGGCGTCTCGGGCTGCAGGGTCAGTGTTGTGGGGCGGGGAATGCAGGGTGCGCGCGTGTGCGTGTGTGTGTGCGTGCGTGTGTGTGTGTGTGTGTGTGTGTCCACGCACGTGCTGGGAGGCTGAGGCAGGAGAATCGCCGGGAGTTGAGGTCTCACCGAACTGCACCGGAGACCCCGTGTGCACACACGTACCTGGCCTTTCCCTTCTCTGCTCAGATTGCCAGAGCTACGTGGCCCTGCTCAGCCCCTGTCCTGCCGTCCGACCCAGCCCCTGCGGCTGCCGGGCGCTGTCCCCGGAGGAGCAGGTGTGCAGCTGGCGCTCGGTCCTCGTGAGTACCGTGGGGCCGGGCCGGGGGTCGGACGCGGGGTGGCGGCCGAGGGCGGTGCAGGTGGGAGGAAAATCCCACGACGTCCCGCAGAGGGCAGGCTAGTTTCCCTCAGCGCGGCGTCTGACTGCGACTCTGTACACTCCGTTGGGAAATTTGCAGGGAATGCGTGTAGCTCTGTCAGCTAAAACTGGAGCGACACATGTGCCCTAAAATTGACAATTCTCAAGTTCTTGTATCCAAATGGGAAAGAAAGAGAGCAGGGCAAGGTGGCGCCAGCCTGTCATCCCAACACCTGGGAGGCTGAGGCAGGGGCGTCTCGAGTTTGAGGCCAGATTGGGTTTCATAGCAAGACCTTGTCTCAAAAAAACAACAAAAATGGTTCTTTGCCACAACCTGAGCTTGCCGTAATGTAAGTTTTATTTTGAATACTATTATGGTTAGAAACATAGCGTGCATAACTTGGTTTTTCAGCTTGAACATGCGTGATTAATGCATTTAAGTGAGCAATCAATCCCCCGAAATGCTAAATCCACGGAGCCAGGAAAGACAGGGCTTTTCAGTTCTGCTGTTTTCCAGAGCATTCCTCGACGTGCACTGATCTTGGCCTATTTCATGTGCAAGGTTTTGGGACTGCGTTCTTTGGAAAGCGACGCTGCCTTGGAGCAGTCTCGCCCGAGTACCCACCTGCCCACGTCTCCCCAGCACCTCCTGATCCACCATTTTCCTGTTTCGGATTCTGTTTATTTTTAGATGATGTTGAAATCATGCCGGACTAAAACTAATAAATAAGCAACTGCTGATTTTTCTAGCTTGAGCAGTGTTTAGGTAATTACAATATCACGAGCAAAAACTACTTGGCAATTTTTAGTTTGGGCTTTTTTTTTTCTTCTGGTACTGGGAATCAAACTCAGGACCTTGCACTTGTCAGGAAAGCACGGCACCACAGAGCCACATCCCTGACCCCTACTTGACATTTTTGTACTTCCCTACTATAGCTTCGAAAAAATTTCTTTTTTTCCCTCTCGTATTGGGGATTGAACCCAGGACGTCCGCACTGAGCTACATCCCCAGCCCTTAAAATATATTTGTAATTTAAAATTCTGAGACAAGGTCTCCCAAGTCACTAGGTTGCTCAGGCTGGTCCGGAACTCAATCCTCCTGCCTCAGCCTACCAGAGTGCTGGGATTACAGGTGTGTATTGCTACACCAGAAAAGGTATTTTAACTTATTGGATTATTAAACAGCACAACCAGCCCCCAGCTTAATAACGGGATATTATTCATGTAGAACAGTACTTCGGACTTCTACTACATCGAAGAAAACATGCACGCATCTCCACAGAGCTCGGCCGGAAGCCAAGCGGCTCCTGTGGTCTCCCAGCCCCGAGGAGGAAAAGGTATGTGGGCGGTGAACGAGCAGCTCAGGAGCAGTTTACATCACCCGAAGCTGCTTAAGCAACCCTACTCCAGGTGGGAATCTCTTGGAATAAAAATGTACTTCTCCAGAAAAGAAAAAGCAGGAAAATCTACTCAAATCTTTTGCAGAATGTTCCATACCAGTTTAACGTACCATAAATTTGGAGTTGAGGGGGGGCGGTACTGGGGATGGAAGCTGCATCCCCAGCCCTTTGAAATTTTGAGACAGGTTCTCACTAAGTCACTAAGTTGCCCAGGCTGGACTGGAACTTGTGATCTTCCTGCCTCAGCCTCCCAGAGTGCTGGGGTTCCAGGCGTGCACCACCAGGCCCCGCTGAACTGTGATTTCAGGGCATCAGATGGTGATGGTCTCAGCGGACTCTCCCACTGTGTACGATGTGGTCTCCTCCCGCAGTGGCTTGAACCTGGACAGATCCCTCGACCTTCTAATCCACAGTTCCTTTATCCCAAACAGTAACGGCAATATTAACTGCAGGAGAAGACTGCCGTAATTATTAAATCAGGCCGGCGTGGTAGCTGAGGCAGGAGGGTCTCAGTGAGTTTGAGGCCAGCCGGGACTATATGTAGCAGGACAATTTAAGGTTATATATTATCATAGTTTTTAAAAAAATATTGTACTTTATTTTTGGGGTTTTGTTTTTGTTTTCTTTCAGTTTTTCTTTTTTATCTAAAGTTATTTTAAATGAGTATTTTTCAAAAGCTATTTTTTGTTCCTATACCGCTGCATACTGTGTCCTAGGATCACAGAATTGGAAATAGGCAGCAACCATCTAACTGCAGTTAGGAGTAATGTACGAAACCAAGCGGTTCAGGGGCCTCCAGCACACCACCGAGGGGTGTCCAGCGCTGTCTTCCGAGCCAGCTTTACCCAGGGGCGCACGCCCCGCTCCGCTTTTGTGTTGAGGGTTGAGTCTTCCATGAGAGATGCGGTACACGGGAGAAACAACGAGATTTCACAATATTTTGAGCCCCCACTGTTGGGAGAAAAACAATACAACCACACACGGTGCACATATAGCTGCCAACACGCCTGACGGCATTCCTGAGGCAGAGCCCGCTGAGAAACATTTTGGTTTAAGACTTTTTAATTTGGTAATTGAAAAATAAGTGGTCATTAAGCTTTTACAACTCAGACAAAAGTGTGGAAAATAGAAATGACCCAGGATCCAGTGTTCAAGGCCAGCCTGGATAACACAGAAAGATGCTGCCTCAAAACCAAGCAAAATAAAATGAAATGAATCAAAGGAGGACCTCTCCTTTCCTACCTGGAGTAACCTGCCTGCTGTGCTAAGTTTATCTGATTATTTTCTGGAAAAAAGGGCAAAAGAATATGAACCTATTTCTAATTTTTAAGTATTCTGCATATTTTATATGCAAAAAAATGTTTTTCTGGAAATATCTAAGATATTAGAATGTGTCTTTGTACTTTGAGGCTTTTAAAAAATCTTTACCATGAGTGCATAACTGTTGTTTTTTATTATTTTTGTTTTGACATATTGAGGATTGGACCCAAGCCCTCCAGTCCTTTTAAATTTTTTTTGTCTTTTGGTACCGGGGATCGAACTCCGGTCCTTGCGCTTGCGTAGCAGGCGGCGAAACCATTGAACTAAATCCCCGGCCCATGCTTTTAGATTTTTTTATGTAGAGACAAAGTCTCAATAAATGACTCACTCGTCCAAGCTGGGTTCAAATTTGCGATCCTCCTGCCTCAGCCTCCCAGAATGCTGGGATTACAGTTGTGCACCACCACGCCTGGTTGCCTGGTTTAACACTGTTATGTTTATTTATTTGTTTTGTTTGTTTATTAATTGAGACAGGGTATCCCTATGTAGCCCAAGCTGACCATGAACTCACAGCAATCCTCCTGCCTCAGCCTCCTTAGCTGATTACAGGCCTGAGAAAGCGTCTCTACGTGAGTTGTTACTGTGCATTTCCCTAACGTGACTTTCTGTTTGGACCTGTTTCCCCTGTTACAAAGTGCCTCGTGTCCTCCAACTCATTTGACTAAACTCATTTGAATAAAGCTCCTTCCAATGACTTGCTTTCTGGAAATGGCTTTTGAGACAGCTATTTTATTTTTATCTTACTGCACTACTATGGACTGAACGCTGGGCCTTTGCACTGAGCAACCTTGCCATCCCCCCACGCCCCTTTTTAGGCAGTGCCTCACTAAGGTGCTAAATTTCCCGGGTTGGTTTTGAACTTGGGATCCTCCTGCTCCAGCCTCCTCGAGTGCTGAGATTCCAGGTGTGTGCCACCAGGCCCCATTAGACACCTCTCTGTAGCCAGCGAACTGTCCGCTCATGGGCTGCTCTGCTCTGTAGGAAGCCCAGGGTGTGGCCTCACACTAGGTGTTCGGGTTCAGCAGGCAGAAAGTCCTTGCGAGCAGAGGCCTCTGACTCCCCGTGCCAGGAGAGGACAAACACGACTCCCATCGGAGCGGGCCAGTGGAGAATGTGAGCGTCCAGCCCCACAGAAGGATGCGAATGCATCTCCTAAGCTAGAGAGGAGGAGGAGGAGGAGGAGGAGGAGGAGGAGCAGGAGGAG